CTAGGATCAATCTATTATCCTTTTATTATCCTATTATTATCAATCTATTATCCATCCATCCGTCCATCCATCCATTTATCTATCTATTTTTCTATTTTTCTATCTATCCATCCATCCATCCATCCATCCATCCATCCATTATCCGTCCGTCCATCCATCCATTCATTTATCTATTTTTCTATCTATCTATCTATCTATCTATCTATCTATCTATCTATCTATCTATCTATCTATCTATCTATCTATCTAATCTCTGTAAGTTTTTATATTTACAGATGTTTAAACCATAGCAACATCAGAGTTAGGATAAGTAACCCAACTGGTAGGAAGGGGGGAAAAAATCATCTTTACATATTAAAAAAATAGGTAGCGAAAAAAGAAGAAGAAAAAGTTGTTGCACCGCCAGTGTTAGGAGAAAGAATCAACCCATTCATGCAAATAAAAAACAACTACCTATTATCACCAGATTGCAAAAGGGAAAAGATAGATAGACATACTGACTAGTACAGATTTTAAACAAACAACAATAATAAAACGTAATAAACATCCATGTGCATATAATCCTACACAGTCATTTCCAGTGCCCTGGTTTCCTTCCAAGAGAATGGGTGTGTGTGAGTGTGTGTGTGCACGTGTGTGTGTGCGTGTGGAGACAAGGCCTAATAGATTTAGAGGTGGTCCTCGGATGGTGCTAGAAGAATGGGAAAAGGCTAACAGTGTACAGCTAAAGATGACCTAACCCTGTCTCACGGGCTGCAGGTAACATGAAGACAACCTTGGAAGACGATGACATGGTTGAACATCGACGTGGGGACCCTTCTGTGTGTTTCTATGATTCTATATTGAATGGCTTTTCACTCAGCTAAGGATGCTTTTCAACAGTGCAACTGAATGCTCTTTGCTTCAAAGGGTCATCTTTCTTTGATCTGTGACTTGGGGGGGGGGGAGACGTTGCAGTCGCCCTCAGAAACATCACCAACTGTGCAGAATGCCAACCGTGTGCCATAATCTACCTGTGCAGAATGCCAATGGGAGGAATATATTCTAGAACGAACGCAACCTTGTCAGAATGGCTCACCACGGGAAGCAGGATTGCTGCGAAGACCCATCCCTTCCAACAGAAGGCCATCTTGGCGATCAATCAAATCAAAGGCTCAAAGGGTTTAACGGTGGAATGCAAAATAGCCGGAGGTTTCTGCTTCAAGGTCTTCAGATCTCTAGGAAAGGAAAAACAGAAAATATGTAAGCAGCAGGTTCTGGAACAGTGAAATCAAAAGGGGTAATAGAAGGAATGAGGATAAAAGGTTCAGCTCATGTGAGAAGAGTAACTTTGTCTACAAAAAATACCCCACAACACGCTAGTCTATGAAACTAAGGGCACTACCACACTGGCAGTGTTTTCACACACCCACAAACACACCCACAGGAGCAGACCCAGAACTGCCCACGAGAATTCTCACGTTGCCACTCGCAGGACTCAGAAAGGAGGCCTTTAGTCATCTGGTTATGGCTGCCATCTTGACTTTCTTGACCCCCTCCCCAAGAGGCCTCTATTTTTCTCCAATAAGGGACAGGGAAAAAAATGGTGTCAGCCAGCACCCCTCCCCAATTATGACTTTTATTGCTTTGGGGATGTAATAGTATGTGGGAAAGACCTTGGGAGATAGGGGGAAGAGACACAGCCAAGGGAACGGTCAGATAAGAGGCAGCTGAGCCCACAGCTAGACAGTGGGTGGGGCAAGAGGCTCAGAAGAGAACCTCCCTAAGTTATGGGGCTGTAAAGGAGATGGGGGGAGACTTGTACTTTCAGACTTGCAAAATTCTGTTAATGTAGCTTTACAATAAAGTAGAATTAGCTCATCTGGGCGTGTTTCCTGTCTGGTCTACCTAGTAAGGCTGACATCAATCTGGCGAGTCTGGAACCAGATAGGCTTCAGAGGTAAGTTTATTGGTTTGCTTGTTTTTGTGCTGTTTGCCTTTTAACATTCTCCCCGGCATTATTTACCAACTCAAATCTGGAATCTGAAGCATGGCCTGACTCTGTGGATTTTACATTTGTTTTGCATGAGGAAGGGAAGGGAAGGAAGGGAAGGGAAGAGAGATGAATCAGAAAGAAGGAAGGAGGCGAGGAATCCAGAGGTCTAGATTGAGCTACAGGACAAATGCTCCTTCCTAAGAGAGATAGGCTGTCTGCACCCTTTGGCCCTCTGCCGCCCTGATCTCCAACTTTGTGACCCCACAGCCTGCCTTCGACCACCATCTATCACCCCTTGAAGGCAAGGACCATTTTAAGGATGGAAAAGGGTAGCCCAGGCCATAAAACAGACCAGAAAACCTTCTCTCCCTCCAAGTAGCAATCAACGGGACATCCTGGAGGGTCCTACTATTTTTGCAACTTGCCCCCTCCCTGCAGAAGAGTGACCAGAGCAATCCCCAGTCCCTGATCACCACAGCCTGTTGATGGATCCTCAGGGACCCTTGAAGAAAGAATAACCGATTGGTGAGATGTCCCTTCTTCATTTAATGTCATAAATGACAGGGCAGGATTCAGCCCACTGAGAGCGCTGGAATGAATGAAACATGTGGACTTCAACTCCCAGAATTCTCCAGCCAGCATATGCTGGCT